AAAGAAACAGCTGAGATAAGAGCAATGAATAACAGAGATGTTAGATGCACATCACAGAGGACTAACTTTTTAACTTGTTTTCCAGCTCTATTCATTCAAGAAACCCTGGCATAAATGAACAATTCAACATGTCTTCAGCCATCCTTAGCTACTACTGTAGCTCTACCCATCATCTACTCTTGCCTATTTCCTGCTGGAAGTTTTGGAAATATTCTGGCTGCCTGGATATTTTCAAGGAAAGCACCCACAAGAAGAACACAATACATTTACCTGGCAAACCTTGTCACTGCAAATTTGCTTGTATGTGGCACGATGCCCTTTCTGGCTGCCTATTTTGCAGAAGGCTACAGCTGGTCCCATGCTTCTACGAAATGCAGAATAGCATATAACCTGGGGACTCTAGTTATGCATGTCAGCATGTATGTTACCATTACCATTCTGTGTTCAATTGCCCTAAGTCAGTATGCAACACTGAAGAACAACAACACCATGAGGTACTCACAGGCAGTTAACAAAAGCTTCCACAGATCTGCACTTCAAAAGTTCCGACAGCCAAAATTTGCTAAGTATTTGTGCATTACTATATGGCTCATTGTGCTCTGCATAACAATAATAGCTATAACATGGGATGCCCAGGGAAAGGTTTTGGGAGAAAATCCCAAATGCTACAACAAAATGGTAGAAGTTGGTGACCTTACTGCAAAGGTTGCAAGTTGCCTTGCCACTGTATGTTTTTTTGCATCTTTTATGACAGTTTTGGGGTCATACTATTCTCTTATTAGATGTCTGAGTAAAATGCAAAAAAATACTTGTATTCAAGAAAAACATTTAATTAATAGTACAGTGAAAAGAAACATCCTTGTCATCCAGATGATATTAACTGTCTGCTACCTTCCATATCATATTTTTAGGCCAATTTTTTATATACTGTTTACAGAAGATGACTGCCCAAGGTCAAACAATCTAGTGGAAATTAAAAATTTCCTTACTTGTCTTGCTGCTTCTAAGAGCAGTTTAGATCCAGTTATAATCCTTCTGCTAGATAAAAAATTTAAGCAAAGTCTTTGTGACCTCTTTACAAAATCCATGAGAGGACCTCAAAATCGTAACACTGATATTTTCACTGAAGACTCTTGAAATGGGAAGGCATGTCAGAATATTTTAGCAGACAAGTAACAATAAACTATATTTGACTACCTGTAGCTGCACTTTGATATGAAATGGTAAATATTTAAATAAAATGCTAGCATTTTACTTGCTTTTTTCCTCAATCATCTTGCTTACTATGTCAGCAATAGCCATAATAAATCTTGTGTATGTCCAAATGAATACAAGCAATTTGTACAGTGAACTGTGTAATATCTCTTCATACATGCAATGCAAAAGGTATTTTACATCACAGACCTATGGACAGTGTTTCAACCTAAAAAAAAAAATCAAGGAGGAAGGCAGAAACTAGGCTGAAGTTGAAGAACCAGCTCTCTATTGTCACCAGTAAGAGTCCCAGGGTTTGGACACAGGTTTCCTTTACAGAAAAGGTTGAATAAAGCACAGACCTTTTCTCTGGAATGGTTGAACCACAACTGTGCTACAGAACCAGATAACTACAGCAGTTTATGCCTTCCAGATGGCTTAGATGACTGCTCTTAGGGCAACAGCTGCAGGGCAAGGGGAGCAAAGCTGTTTAATACCTCTTACATTTTGCACAGGAAGGAACTCAGAAACCACTACTTCTGTCCTTCCTTAAATACATTTTATAGTGAACATAGTTGCAGTTGCTAGGATATCTCAGCACAGTGTCTGTTTGGGGTTGTTTCTCTTAACACCAAGTTTCTGATAGCATAGGCTGAAGGAATTCTTTCTCCACTTTCCTAGTCACAACCACTCAATTCCTCAGTGCTGCATATATCAAAAAGTCAAGAAAATGAATGAAACTCTGGGAAACTACTTTGAGATGTACTCTTAGCAAGATCCCACTCTAACATTTCTATGAACTACCAAAAAATTATTTATGCTTTAGTTTTTTTCTTATGTAGTCTGTCCAAGATGATGTCTCTAAATTTTTTTAATTGCATCATAGTTTTTCTTGTTTTAAATAGTGGAAAAGCTTTTCTGTAGTACAGGCAATTTGAGAAACTACAAATTGAGTACTGCATTGGTCTACCATTTGACAGAATAGTTCATGGAGGAAAGATCCCCCAAAACGTACAGACATGAGGGAGAGACAGAAAAATACTACAGCAAAACTGCTCATGAGGTAAACTTCTTGCATTGCTTATACATCATTGTGCCAAATCAGAAGTTAGCAGATGACTTCTATAATAATAATAATAATAATAAAATTCATTTCCATTGCAGTGAACACAAAATCCTAAGGCAACTATGCACATCACATGGTTTGCAAAGCAGTTTATAAACTGCAGGTGTCTGTCTACTTTTTGGTTAACCCATTCAAATATGCTGCATGGGTAGCTAAGCTCAGTGATCAGAAGACATTTGTTTTCTGACTGTCTGAGCAAATATTGAAATATTCAAACTTACTGACCAGAAATCATGGAGATGTTGAGCTCCAGGAAGGCCAAGCAGCATAAACAGCAAAACTGCTGCTGCTGCCCCAGCAGCCAGTCAGCAGCACACTAGGAAAAGGGCTGGGCAAAACAAGCACGGGGACTCTGGGATGGGAAGCAGAGGTACAGGAGTGGACATGGACAGGGGGAAGAGAGCACTGCCCAAGGAAACACTGAGAAAAAGTACTGCAAGCTTTATTCTTGGAGCCTCTTAACTTCTGCATTGAATGAGGAAGTGCTCCTCAAAAAAACCTGGCCAGGTAAGACACCTCAATTCCACCTCTGTTAGTGATTTTGCAGCCTTAATAAGCTTTTAACAATTTAATATGCAACAGAATCCTCACAAAGACGTTGCAACTGGATCTCAAGGATCTAATAACTTGTAGAAAATACAGAGAAACCCACCAGTTATTACTGAATCTCACAAATAGATACTTTATTATTATTACTTTACTAATTTTCTAGGTCTACCTAAAAGCAAAAGTGTAAGGCTTGAACTCTACTGGCAAAATCTGAAGTGATGAACTACAAGCAGTTCAGGCAATGAAAGACAGAAGTTGTAACTGAGTGTGCTCTCAGAATTCATACGGTTGATTAAATTCTGTAGAGTGCAAAAATCAACATGCAAATCCATCCACAGATCAGCTCTCAGTTCACCTGGACCAGCTCAGATTTCTATGTGACACAGCAGAATGCATAAAGCTTAGTCCTACTCCCTACTTTCCTGTGCATCAAATAATGATCAAACATCTTGCATTTGAAAATAACATTCACAGAAAGTCTAAGAGAGAAAAAAAAGTAGTATGATTATATTAACCTTACAGATTTTATTAATTCACTTTCATCCATTCAGATAATCTGGAAACTGGTCATTCACTCTACTTTCTTTCAAAACAATGTCTACAGTGACATCTAGAGCTGGGATACTGCAGTCAGCTTAACACATTCCACACCCAAACCCTATAGTTCTGAGCTGCTTTTGCCAAAATGAAACACTGTTGGTTTGGACTGCTTTAGACTGATCTGTTAAAATTTTTTTTCACTCATGTAATTGAACATTTTTATGTCTAAAGATAGTACTTAAAAAACCCCTGTGATTCTGAATTTTTCAGAGACTGGATAAGCTGCAAAATAAACTCCCACTTTACACTCTGCGACATGGGCCTACCTTAGAAGCCCTTGGAACTGAAATTTGTTTTTGTTCAAGCACATGGTCCAACAAAAACAAGTGCAGCTTTCAGGAAGACATAGCAACATAAAGATGATGTTAATTTGGAATTCTCATGTGGTATCAAAAATGAACAATTAAAAGAACTTAGAACCTTCAAGACAGAACAAGGTAAGACATTCTACCTGGGATTACGAGGCCCTCTTTAGAATTTGATGTAAGAAATTACTTTCAAAATACCAAACTTCAAAAGTCTATTACATAATAATTTCCTTGATTTTGGAAGGAGAGGGAAAAAGAGGCTGGGAAAAGTCTGTAAGGTCTGTGTGCACAAGACAAATGACTCCTTAGAAAAATGATCAGTTCAGTGTCCACACTCTCTTCCATCCCAGATCACCCACAGGAGTTCGAAGCACAGGTTATCCTCTCTCCATCTTCCCTACTCACTAAACCAAGTTCCACTTCTCAATCTGCACCATCAGAGCTTGTCAGAATTTTCATTAATTCCTGCAGTGCTTGACTCACTTTGGATAAACCAAAGTATTTGAGAAGTAGGAATAACTCTTTTAGGCAATGACACTAACAAAGAATATGCATATTCAAATTGAAGAGAGTTGAGCCACTTAAATTAGACCTCACATTACAGTACTTTGGGATAAACTACTTCCATAAATATCCACAGAAAGAGTACAAAATTCACCAGATCAAAAAGAGTCTGTACACACACTGATCTTAAACACGGCAATTCTCCTCCCAAACTTGATTATATTAGAGAAGTTTCTGTAATAGTAAATGTTTAAGACTGCCTGCAAAAAGTAGATAATCCTACCAATATTGTAGCATTTAAGCATGTGCATCTCTGAAATCTTAGTGTGGCTGAGCACTGTCATTATGCTGTCGAAATGATCCATTAAGCTACCAATTCCAGTTTAATTTATGCAATTAATTTATAGACACATTCTCCTGACAAGCAAAAAATGCAAGCAGATTTCATATGAATATTCAAAAACTAGAAATTAAACTGACTTTCAAAGCAAGTTGCAATCAAATGCATGTAATTTGTGAATACAGACCTCCTCAATGTTCTATATTGATGGAATTTGAGATGGGCTTTAATCTTACGTGACACAATCAGAGTAAAGACACACTCAGCAAACAGAGATTCCTTATCTACAGCTCCCCCCTTCCTTTAAATTACAGAAACAGAAGTTCAGTAGTTTGCATTATTGTGACAAAGGGTTAAAAAAGTAATTAAACCACCTTACCTTCACATCCCTGTGAATTATATTATTATCATGACAGTAACGTAGAGCTTCCAGTATCTGTCTCATGTAATGACTGAAAAAATAAACAGATTATGCATGGCAAACCTGCAAGGAAAATGACTATACACATGTAGCAAACTAAGTTTTAAGAGCCCAACTATATAAAACTCATCAACTAACTTAAGCCTCAAATATACAGAGTTCTGTAGAATGGAGTTTGTGTTTGTAATAGTGAATGATATAATCTAAAGTCTGAGAACTATTCTGATGGAAGACAAGGAAGATTAGAAAAGAAAAATCTGTGTTTTCTGAGTTTTTGTAAAGGTTTCAAATGTTCAATAATTCTGCTTTACATGACAAAGAAGTCAGGACCCTCCTTTTTGAAAAATAACTGAACACAGAAAGGAAAAAGCTGAGTGTCAGGGCCTGATTTATATGGAAGAGGACTGGACCAAGATCTTGGCTTGTTTGATGGAGAGTGGAGACTAACTTCTTTCTCCTGTGTCCAAACAATGGCCTAACAGATCACTGACCACAGCAGAGAGCCAAGAGAGCCAACTGCATCCTGTGCTGCACCAGGCAGAGCATCACTGTGGGCTAAGGGAGGCAATCCTTGCCCTCTGGAGGATACAGCCAGCTAAAGGAACATTTTTCCCTAGGAACATAACTGTGCACTGGGAGCTCAGGGAGGCTGTGCAATCTTCATCCTTGAAAGTATTCTAGACCCACATGACAAAGCCTTGAGCAACATGATTCAAATGCCATGCTGAGCCTGCCCTGAGCAGAAGGTGGAATACAGACCTCGATGTCTCTTCCAGCCTGGTTTCTATATGCTAAAAGATCTACAGTGTTGCAAAAAGCAGACAAAGAATCTCATGGGCTTTGAGTTCAAGCATCATGCCACTAGGACAGAGGGTTTCATTGTCCTTCTGCAGTTACTTGACTCTTTCATCTTAGTTTACCTCATAAGTGAAAAGCTGAAGTAACCATAAATAAAGTGATATATAAGAAAAAGACAACTCTGTCTAGGAAACCAGGAAAACTCACACATGTCAGGCAAATCACTTAATGCCATCATATGAGAGATCCAGAAAAAGCAAAGATAGTATTGGATGTAAAAGATTGTTTTACTCAATAGCCCCATCCAAAAGTATAACTAGTAAATGACAAAATGCTCCAAGATTCTACTTTTATTATGCTAATGGTTGCAATAAACATCTAGAGTGTGGAAACTGGACTCTTTATAGTATTCCAAGTTCTAGCTAACAGATTGTACAACAGTATATTCTATTCTTTTCCATTTATCCTGTGGGATTAATTAAAATCATAATTCATACCTGGCTACAGCCTCGCTGTAGACAAATCCAGCATCTGCTCTCTTCACAATTTCAAAACACAGGTCTGCTCCATCCATACTGCAGGGAAAAAAAGGGAAATTGCTTAAATGAATGGGTTACTACAATCAATTACATAAAAATGCTCAAAAAATTTATTTACTCCACTCATACACATCTTACATCAAACACTGTGAATACATGTACTGTGCATTACTAACTAAAACAGCATTTAATAGGTAATCTAATAGAAAACAGCTTGCCACAGGTTAACCATTTTATGTCCCTCGAGTCATATAACAGCTCTCTCAAAACATTAGCAATACCAAACATTTCTTTGATTGCTTAAACTGCTCATTGAACAAGGTGTGCAAGACAGCAGAAAGTAAATGCCCTGTACAAGAGAGCTCTGCAAGTTAACAGTTAAGGCCTGAGATTAGGTTAAGTGTCTTCTTAAAAGCATTATAAGTGCAACTCTATAATAACTACTGTAGTAATAAAAAGATCTTACTCAATTTGGATTTTAATGAAGACTTTAAAAAATACTCCAGAAATACAGTATGGTCTTTCCAGTTGGCATTCTCATCAGGGTAATTAAGCAGCCAAGAAGAGACTTTACACCTCACAGCCTCACTGAAGGCACCTGAGAGCAGTGACAGCCCACATACTACATCACTAGCTCTTGATATCTTTCTCCTCTTCTCCCTAATTGTCCAAAGTCTTTCTGATCACCTAACCTCCCATGGTGAGTAGCATCACACTTTAGATGCAGGTATATTCATAGATCTTCAGCTGAAACTAGACTGTCATTTCTCTAAAGCTAAGCAGCCTGGTGTGGTGGAACTGGTCTGCTTTTCCTTCTTCTGTATGTGACCTGAGGCAGATTGGTATCTAGAAATACCAAGGTGGGGCAAGGAGAGAGTAACAGGAGTTCACAGGAACAACAAAAATCACATAATTCATGCTTAACAAGGCACTTGCAAAAATATTGATCGTAACATGTAACTTCCAGCCTTCATACCTTTTCTTTTTTCCTCTCCACAAAGACTCAAGGGAAAAAAAAAAAAAAAAAAAGGAGCAGAAGAATTTGTAAGGTATCTAGAAAGTCAACATTACCAGGGCCATTTTGGTAAGCTGTTCAGAATGTCAGCACCAATCACTTTGGCTTTGTTACATACCTGCAATATTAAACTTCTGCTTAGGGAGTCACAAGTCACGTGCAGAAGCTTTAATTCCCAAATAAATTCAAAAGGTATCCCCATACAAAATACAGAATTGTGTGGATAGAGCACTAACAACGATAAGAGCGACTGTTGACCAAAAGAAATGCACATTTATTTAAGCAGGTGGAAAAATAAAATCCTGCCCAGTTATTTCAGCAGTTGGTACCACCTTGGGGTTTGCCATGTCCCACAAATCAGAAACCCACACTGCCAAACCATGACTGCTCTTCACTGCATCAATAGATTCCTCTGTAGTTTTTTTTCCCCAACAGTTTTTCTGTCTTGCTCAATTTCCTACAGCTAGTCTGTGCACAGGGCTAAGTATCACCCAGAGAATATGCTGTGCTGCACTGCACATCGTCCTGTGCAGCAGCCACAGGGTCAGGGTCAATGAGAGCAGCATAAACCTGCATTTCTCTGGCTCTCTGGAAAAAATCCCTCATGTCAATCTCTCTTTCAATACTTTCTCACACCAACTACCAAATATTAAAGGATGAAGAAGAACCCTTAAGAAGAATAATTTCAGCCTGACTTGTTCTAAACTACAGATGAATAGAGATAAAGAGGCACTCAAGATTTTTATCAGCATTGATAGTTGCTGAGAGGTGGAGATAAGAATGTCATTCCTTTACACTAACTTTCCTTATTAAACAGGGTGTTTATAATCAGAATGGTCTTTAACATGCATTTCTACCTCCCACGTACACATACCAGCAATTTTCATTTAAATTTCATAACAATAAGTGGCAGTTTGAATTTTTCTTGGCATATTATGTTTGAAAGTTTTATTCCATTAAGATGAACTCTGCTGATCTCCAAAGTATGCAGCAGGTGTGCTTTAATCTCTGACTTCAACTGACTACTTTGTCAAGACAAAATCTTTCTTTAAGAGTACTTTTCTTCCTGTATAAAGGGCTTGTATCACCCCATGTGACACAATACATTCAGTACATGATATTGAATTTTACCTGAAAACCATGAGACTTTTGTCCAGCTGAGGCTGAGTCAGACCCAGTTAGAAGAAACCCCAGAAAATTCACTGCAGTAACAGACGAAAAACTCAGCCACATACCAATCGCTTACAAGATGACTTTGCAGTCACTGAAATGCTTATGTGATGCAAGAGCATTACAGTTTTAAGATGCTGATGAAATGAAAAGTTCAGGAAGTCTCAAAGCTTTGTAGCTATCACCATAAGCATGTGAAAAAAATGGAAAAAATAAAATCCACTGAGGTAAACAAAGCTATTATCCGTGCTGAAGACGTAAGTGAATGATGCAAAAGAAGCTGGGAAGCATCTCATCACCATCACAGCCTGAGCCACCCCTGTGGCCAGCAGAGGGCACCGCCAGCCCTGGCACGGGAGGGACGCACACCAACCTCACCTCCAATTTTCCATATTCTGCTATTGATTCCTCCATATTTCTATCAGAACTGCGCCTGGATGTCAGTCCTTTGGATATTTCTTCCCACAGCTCTGATTAGTGCTGCCTGTGCACCTTGAAAACCTTTCTACTGCTCTGCACGAAGCTGATGAGAAGTTAGAACCTGCCTGGAGAATTTACTCCTAAATCATATCCTATGGAGAAATCTTTGATCCTAACAATGAGTCTGAAGAATAATAGACAGTACATTCCAGAAGAGATCTGTTTTGATACTGAGGTATGATCACAGAATCATTAAGGTTGCAAAAGGTCTCTGAGACCATCGAGTCCAACCTGTGACCTAACATCACCATGTCAACCAGACCATGGCACTAAGTGCCACCTCCAGTCTGTCCTTAAACACCTCCAGGGATGGAGACTCCACCACCTCACTGGGCAGCCAGTTCCAATGCCTAATCACCCTTTCTGTTAAGAAATTCTTCCTAATGACCAACATAAACGAAGTAAACCCACCTATGTACAAGGGTGAGAGAATATTCTGCAAATGACCAGATATTAAGGTATCTGTCATCCACTCACTGATGCTGTATCTGAGCTCTTCAGTGTGAAAGTACTTGCAGTGCACAGACTTTGATTATACAGATGATAAATCGCATATTACGTACTCTAAAGTCTAAAACGTGGTTTTCAGACACTTCAAAAGGAATATTTGTTTTGTTTTAGAAATATTGCAAGTAGCTGACCATTCTGAAAGGAGGAAATGGCCTCACATTGTGCCAGAGGAGTTTCAATTTCTTTACCAAAAGAATTGTCAAGCACTGGGCTGCCCTGGATGGTGGAGTCACTATCCCTGAGAGCATTTAAATGTTTCTAATGTTTATTTTAACAAAAGTTTTCAAAATAATGTATTTCCCTGAATGGCACAATTGTAGTTATCAGCTATATGCTACATTTGCTTATTAAACTTGCACTTTTTTTGTATCAATAGATTTGGCAAGATATTCAGGGTGATCCTAGCAGCTGCTCCATGTAGCTCAGCCTATGACACAGTCGTGGATCTTTGTATCATTTATGTGCAAGTGATGGCACCAAGTTTTAGGTTTGGTTATTCTGTGCATTTCATGTGCTGAGCCTGAATTAATTTTCATGCAAAGCATCTGCCAGTCCTCATCACCAGCTAGGCTTATATCTCCTCTGCAGATCTGTGTTGTCTGTCCCTTTTCAGTCATTTCACAATAACTAGACCCTAATGAAATAGATTTTATTACCATAGACAGAAATTTGTTGCCAATCAGTCGAGTTTGTTATAATAACAGTGTAATGAACAGACAACAGGATGAGGGAAATAAGTTACCTGCATGTTCAGAGATGCTTTTCTGCTAACTACAAGTTTCTTATTATGGTCACAACTACACAGTATGCCACTAACATCATCAGACTCACACACAGTAAATATCAGTCTTCTGTTGGATCACTTTTCCCCTCCAGCACAACATATTGCATCCACAAATCTTCCACACTTTGAGCACAGGTGATCCTACTGCCACATTTTCTATCACTGTTTGTTACAAAAAAGTTATGACTTGTAGTGTACAAAGGAGATAAGGACATCCTTATGGTACAGAATATTCTTCAAATAATTTAGCCTCATAATTCCTTCTTTCATGTGGCCTGAAGTCAGGTACAGTATTTGTGTAGTAATTCAAATTGTTTGGAGTTACTTTTTTATGTACACAAACATAAATTATAATAGGCTTGTCATTAAAAATAATTGCTGCTTTTGTCTCATATTTCTGAGCTATCAGCATGGTAAAAATAGAAGCAAAACCTTTTTGCCATTTCAAAATCTTGTTAATTATCACAGAGTGTCTCCCCAAGGTGTACATAATTATTTTATAATAGGATAATTAAAGTCCCATGGTCCATGCTTTGGGATTTACAAAATAAAGAGCACAGCCTGTATTGAATCAAAATGTGCAGAGAGGAAAGCATAGAACAATTATTTCACAAAATCACGAGTTTATAAACGCATCTAAAAAAAAAAAAAGCAGAGGATTTTCAAACAATTTTCAGCTTTACCTAATTTTTTGCTGTTACCACTAGCTTTTCCACCACATCAGTGGTAAAACATGTGAGAATTATTTTTAAGTGCATGTCTCTAATCAAACTCTTGGCTCTAGTAGACAAGCCAGTTCCACCTAACACACCGGTATGATGTGGTTGTTCCAACATAAGCAGAAAATGAAATTGAGGAAGATCAGGGGAATTAAAGAGGTACAAACACATATGCCCAGACACACTGGGAATGCATATATGGAGGGAGCATAAAAAGAAGAGCTGTCAGAGAAGACAAGGAAGACAGGATACAGAACATGCACAAATTACCATTCTTGCCTGTCTTTGGTCCTTCCCATTTAGCTAAAACCTAACTCAGGAAGGACTAATAACTTTCCCCCTAAGGAAGAATGTGCTGATTTAGGGGCTGCCTCCCTTTTTTTGATTCCTGTTGTTGATTAAAAATACATGTCCACTGCTTCAAAGTTGTTTTGTGCATCCTTTCCACTAAACTCTTACATTAAAACATCCAAAACATATCTTTTAGACCAGAGCCTCTTTTCCTATATTGTGAATAGGTATATTGACTCACAAGAATACTTAAATACTCCAATAAGCTTTACTTCCTTATCTAATAATGGAAAAGCAATGCCAAAGAAACAACACACTGGAAAAAAAAACGAAAAAAAACTTCACAACTGGAACAGAATATCCTCAGTTACTCAAAGATGATGTTTATCAGCAGATTTACGAGTTGTTCTCACATACCCTGGTAGGGACAAAGCAGCTATCAACAACAGCATCTCTGTCTTTAGGAAGTCCTGATGTTTGCCACTTAGCCAGTGGGACATCTTTTTTTTATTTGGGTCAACCTGTACTTGCCAGCAAGAAATATTTTCACAGCACTCAAGACCTTTGAGTGACAAAACAAGCAGGCATGAACAGACAATACTTTTTAGGATTTTATTTAGTAGACGAAAACAAAGAAAGGTAAAATCAAAGAGAGAAACTTACAACTCGAAGACCATGTAAAGCATTCCATCTGAGCTGTATGTCTCCAAGAGCTCAACAATGTGAGGATGCTTCAGCATGTGACAGATACTGGCTTCTCTCTTCAGATCTGTGGAAGATAAGAAGGCAGAAGATCAGCTATATATTCAAGCTGTTGAATGCAAAAAAAAAAAAATTGAAAATGATTAAAACACAATGTTTGGCAAGACATGCACGTGTGAAATTTCTAATGAATGCTTTAATCTTTTGAGTGAACATTGCTGAGATGATATTTAATTATGCTCCTTCTGAACTTGAGTGTGAAATTAAGTTTAAAAACTCACATAGATCTCAAAATATAAACACACAAAACTTACAGAGTCTTGAATTGACTTCTTAATACAATATTTCCTTGGTCACAATCCAAAGAACTCTACAGAAATAAGTTCCTTTAATGCACATATGCAGACTACACCAAGATTTTCATCCTAAATATCCAACATCACCATGAAACTATCTCCAAATGGAGACAGGCTCTTTCACCACAGCACAGAACTATTAATGACTATTAATGCCTCTGCTCAAAGAAAGAGCCACTAGAGCAGGTTGCTCAGGACCACATCCAGTTGGGTTTTGCTCATCTCCAAGTGTAGAGACTCTATAACCTGCCTAGGAAACCTACACTGGTACCTCATCACCCTCACAAATAAAGAAGTTTCTTTCTTACGTTTACATTTCTTGCAGTTTCCTTCTTTAATATCCTGTATATTTAAGTAACATATGAAATGACACTGGCATAAATTTTAACCAGCATCTATTATCTTGTATCTCTGCTCTAGAGAAAAGGGAATAAAGGAGAAGTTCTGACTAAAGAAAGAGCAGAAACCACTTTGACATATCTCAAAGTTTGAGAGATTTTGTTTTTAACTGAACAACATTTACTTTTTCTGATCCCAAATGAATCCTTCTGCAGGTATAGAAATGCAAAAAAACCAAACCATACTGAACTATTTTTCTTTCTTCTTTGTTGAAACTATTTGCTACTTTTATTATTTAATCATCCTTAAATGTAGGGTTTTTTTAACTTATGTACTAGTATTCTAGAACAAATAGCAAAATTCTGAATGAATAGCCTTGATGATAATTTGAGAAGTGAGGAAAAGATTGGTCTGAATTCTGAACTAGACATTTTACTTCTGTATTCTCTTTCCATGTGACTGTTCATTGTTCAAGAGTGACCTACATATGTATTAGTGGAAAAAATGAAAACATTGGTTTGAGAATGTTCAACATATTGTTGTGCTACACTGGAAAGAAATTAAAAATGCACAATTTTCACATGTGCCCTATTTAATTTCTAACATTCAAACCCACAAGCAATGAGATGACCATTCTTTCATGTGAAGCATTTAACAGGTAACTCAGACTTAGCTACAATTTTAGTCATCTATAAATTCAGAAGAAATGCTCAGAGTTTGGACCTGACTGAATTTCAATCCAAGAAAAATGTCCAGATTCACAAAGTGTAAATTTTCTTACTAGAGCTTTCATAATACACTTGCATTATATGTTCCTCCCTCACAATCTTGCAAATCTAACCTAAAAGCAAAACGACAGAGCAATCCCTTTAGAAACCATTATGTAATGTCACCTCAGGAAGTGCAAGCAGAGCAGCAAAAAGGAGCATCTTTCACTGATGGAGAAGAAATTTCAATGAAGAAATGCATGACAAATTTGTCCTCTAGATGGAGGAAATTCTATCACTTAAGAAAATAGCAATTCTGTCTTTCATTATTGAAAATATTCACATAGGAGTTTTTATACCATCTTCATGCAGAAGAAAATCATACTGTAACGTTCCCTTCCATCACACTGAGGCAGTGATTTGACACTAGATGGTCACCAGCTCTTCACTAGGCCAAGAGGTGCACTGCAGTAGATATAAAGTCTTTCCCAAACAGGATCCCAGATCAGCAGACTGAGGGAGAGCATTGGAGAACAGAGAACTATGTGATTCTATGAGTGACCATGCTCTGCAGAAAACAGGGTGCTTTTATTCTGTCTCTTACTGTATAACTACTTAATGCTACCACACTTCACCGTGGGATCCGATACCTATTTTTGATGGAAAGCAGAGTGAAAATCCAATTGGAAATTACAGGAAAATTCTGCTGCAATTACAGATACAAATTGTGTTCTAAAGAAGTTTATTTTGGCTGCTTCCTTTATTAGTATTTTGTGGGCTTTATTTGAGGAAGAAAATATGTGCTGCCATTTCCCTCGTTCCTCTGTGTAGCACTGGATGAGTGCAACAATTGCTCACAGACTGAGCAGCAGTACAAGAGAAAGGAGAAACAGAAAGTGGAAAAGAAAATCTTCAAATGGGAAAACAAATTAACAGAAGTTAAAGAACAAGGTTTTCTATGACTATGAGGTCCTTGGGGCTAGGAGAAGAACAAAGTTCTATTTTAAAAACGGCAGGGACTTGTTCAACAGTAGACCTATTAAGGAAGAAGAAAAGTAGGTATAAAGAAACAGACAAGTATATAGCACATTGATTCAACAAAGCCACAGGGCAGAAAAGAGATGACAGACTCTGAAGCACATTTGGACTGTGACCCAAATGTCAAAATCTGTCATGTTTAAAACCAGCAAAAAGGAAAGGGGAGGAAGGAGGAAAGGCAGAGATGGCACATATATTTCATTGTTTTCACTTTTAAAAATGACATCACCATCTGCTCAATTCTTTAGCAAATGCTTTTGCCAGACTGAACTAAATTTCAACTCCACAGGTTCCTCCTCAAGAGGTAAATTTGAACATCCCAAGTATCAACAGATACTGTTCCAGTTCTAAATGCAACACAAAACCCAAGCAGATGCTTGGCTGCAAACAGGTGATTGAAGATTTCCTAAGAAAAATGTCATTATTAGCTTGTGAACCACTGTATTATCTGTAACTCATCGTTCTGGATATGAACATTTTGCTACCTCCTGTTAAATTTTCTAAACTCTGCTGAACAGTAATGGTCTTGGACACACATTCCCTATCAAAATAAACTTCATATTCCAAACACCTAAAAGAGCTGCAGAAGAACTCTAGAATCTGCCAATGCAGTAAGTCAGCTTCAGGCAGCAAGGGGTCACATGTGCTATTTAGTAGTGGTTATATGTCTCATATTTGCAGCATTTACTTCAATGGTAAATAAAAGTTAGTTAAAAGAACATATCCTAAGGCAAGACAAAGTCTTAGAATCAGAAACAACCTGTTATCTTTTACTTGCTGGACTATTTAACTTTGTGTTTGAATCCTTTTTTGAAGACTTCACCTATTCATTTTTCTCTTCTTGATATGGCTGAAGAAATTACTTTCTGGTCCATTCTTTAAGACTTCTCTGTCAGCACTTCTTTCAAAATTAAACATTAATGACAGCAGTGATAAAAAATAGAACAGCAAGGTTTAAAAGCACAAGCTTTAAAAGTTCTCTGCCAGCTCCATGAAAGGTATTGTCACACAACCAGAAATAGGGAGAAAGATGTGGCATTTAACTTGCTTAGCACACAGTCTGCTACTTTATATCATAATTGGAAAAGAGTTTAAAAGCTGTCATTTTACACTACTCTTCCCAATAAATCTTCCAGAATTTCAGTCTGTTTACAAAATTTGAGGTTTTTTTTTTTTTGCAACTGGAGACATGCTAAATTTTCCATTTTAGACCTGGATAATTATTTAAAGAGTAGCTGAAGTTGTTAAAATGGTCTGAAATTTCAGACTTCTGTAACAAAGGAGTTTTAAGATGTAAAAGGGAATTCCCAGCAATAATCACCACACACAGAAAATGCAGCCTTGTGTGTGATAGAGACACTGAAAGGGAATTGCTGGAAGCACTAAAGAGATAACTGCTCTAAATAATCACAAAGAAAGATAGATCAGTCTTTGAGAGAAAATATAAAACAGAAGCATCACTTAAAATTCCCATGGGAGTTAACAACCTCATCTCCTACACATCTCTGACAATTCTGGCGAACACCTAATTTCCTATCAAAATCTGATACTCAAAGCTTTAAAGCATCTCAAATGTACTGAATATATTTTCAAAGTATGTTCACGGTGTCCTACAGCATGCAAGAATTAGATGCTCTCTAGCAGCCTACATTATAGCACTATTTTAATATCTTAAAAGCCACATGCACAGACTGTAGCAGCCACATCTTTTTTTTGGGAAGGACAGCACCAAGTTTATTAGCAAGATGGAAGACACATGTCATTTTTATGTATACACAATTCATTTTTACACATACACCATTCTGATTTTCCAGGTTCAGTCCTTTAAAGGATTAGTTCTCCAGCCACAGCTTGGGTATGACAGTATTTTGAAAGGAAGTATCTATGTCAGTAATAAATGTCTCGCTTAAAATGCTTCTGTATATTTTGTATGGTGAGAATATGATTATATATTATATATAGAACACACCATATGAGGGAATTGGGTTGGTTTAGCCTTGAGAAGAGGCAGCTCAGGGGTGACTTCGTGGCTCTCTACAACTACCTGCAAGGAGATTGTAGAGAGGTGGGAGATGTCTCTTCTGCCATGGCTGCAGAGGGGACTAGAGGGAATGGCCATGAGCTGAGACAGGGGAGATTCAGATTAGATGTTAGGAAATTTTTTTTCACTGTTAGGGTGGTCTGGCACTGGAATAGGTTTATCCACCGAGGTGGCAGAGTCACCATCCCTGGAAGTGTTTAAGAGGTGTCAGAACCTGGCACTGGAAAATGGGGTTACAGTGCAGTGACAGGTTAACAGTTGGACTTGATGATTCTATGATACATAATTTAAATAGATGAGGTAGTGCTCAGTTTTAAAGGGAAATCAATATGCTATGTTCACTTGATTGTGCCATTCTCACCTACCATCCTTTGGTGTGCATCATGGAGAAGCTCCTGACTACCCCAGCTAGAATTCTTCCAGATACAACTAAACTGTACAAGATGTTTAGGAAATGTGCCTGATGCTCCACCTGACGCATGGATAAGGCAGACAGTGAGACCTCAGCACCAACTGTTTCACCTTACAAACACACTGGGTTTTGTCCTGTGGATTAGTCTTTGCTAGCTATTAAACTCCCACCCCT